CTAACACACTAAATTATGATTGTAAACATTATACCTGCTTAACATCAGCAAGCATGTTAGCTTTGCCATTCTGGGCATGTTAGCATGCTGATGTTAGTATTTAGCTCAAAGCGCTGTTGTGTCAAAGTACAGCGCCACAGAGCCGCCAGCACGACTACAGACTTATTCTTTTGTAAACTCCTTTTTCCAAGGCAAAAGAAGAATGTTGATACACTTTTCCCACCTCTCAGGAGATGCATACACACTCTTTGTGGAGGATTTAGAGTAAATTGGATCTGCCAGAATGTCATCTGACCTGCTGTGAGAGTTGCACAGTTATCAGTTTCCACAAGTGACAGTCTGGTTTTATTTTCATATAATGTTTGTACACCAATATTAATATTATAATCATATTCATCATTAAATACCTGCTGCTCCTGTATGATGACGAGGTGTAGGCAGAGGGACTGGTGATACTGCTGTACTCATAACTATACAAAGACAAAATGAACGACAGATCACATGTGAGATTTAGGATATTTCTTACTTAATGTATAGAGAATGAAAATAAAAATAATTATGTAAGGTCTTGGTTAGCTCTGCTTCCTACCTGGAGTCTGGTCTGGAGTAAGAGTAGGTTTTCCGGTCACTGCTATAGTCCTCACTGTGTGTGCAAACACACAACAGGTTAGGTATAATAGAAGGACTGCAGACACATTTTCATCTGGTTGTATAGGCACAGGAACCCCTGCAAGAAGTGTGTGTGTTTGAGTGGGAGAGATGTTGATTTAGTCGAATGATTACCTGGGCTTGGTGCTGATGGTGTAGGAGGTGGTGCGGGTAGAAGGAATATCGTCAGTGTACGAGCTGTAGCTGTGTGTCAAAGAGGCATAGGAATGAGTTGGATATGGTATCAACTGTACAGTTCCTTTATTTCTGTATTTATTTGGATGTTTATAATGATATAATCCAGATAGTTTATAATTCAGGTATCCCAAATACAATTATTTGTCTCAATAAAGCTCAGCAAGATACTCAGCAGTACTTTGTGTTTATTGCTAATTAGCAAATGTTAGCATGCTAACATGGCACATTATGTTTGTGTTAAACATTATACCTGCTTAACATCAACATGCTTGTCATTCAGAGCATGTTAGCATGCTGACGTTAGCATTTAGCTCAAAGCACCGTTGTGCCAAAGTACGGCGTCACAGAGCGGCTTTAGGCTCTTAATCTTGTTCGTTGACGTGTAAAAATGAGCGAGGGATACAAATACCGTGATCTCTGAAATCAGCTAAGACATACAGTATGTCATGTTTCCATAAAGGACAGGAAATCAGTGCACACTCACATTATGCTGCTAGCATATTTGATCGCAGATTAACCTAAATGCCTAAATGCTAAATACCTTTAGCAGATGAAAAAAAAGATCAGTGAAGAATACATCATTTAGTTGTAGACCTCTTTTTAAATGTAAAATAAATAAAATATCGTTTGTTGTTTAGTTTGGTTTGAGCCCTCAAAAGCTCAACTTCATTAACCTGTTTAGAGTCACTTGGCACTTTAAAAAGAATTTATTTTAGTCATTGTAAATGACAAATTAATAAAATAATGCTCTTGATTAGATATATTTTTGTAGGTTACATTGTACAATACGTTATGTAGATAACTAAAATCAAAATTACTTATTTTTGGGATCTGACAGCTACATTTAATAATCTGGAGTGGTAGATATTGTTGGATCTCTATCAGTTTAAAATGTATTGCATAGTAATCAGCATGTTTACCTGGTGGTTCTGCGGGTGGAGGATGGCGATGAAGGAGTTGGGCTTTCTCCTCTAAATGGCACAAAAGACAATATCAGTAGAAAGTAGGATAACTACTGTAGGCCCTACATACAAAGAACGTCTGCACAGTATCAAGCAATTAATTTCCAACACTCACCCTTTGCTGCTCTCCACGGTGACTATCTCTCTCTTTTTGATGCTGGTACTGCTGAGACAACGACAGTGTGATGCTTGACTGATAGGATAATTAAATGATTGTGTGTTTTGTTAATAGTTATTCACTGAGACATCTCACCTGACAGGAGAAGATGTAATGGATTTAGGCAGGAGGGTGTCATACAGATCATCCTCAGCCCTGTAAAGACAACAATATTATGAATATATGCTAGTTATGAGTAGAATCCTTTATTTGAGGGCATATTTAAAAAAATATATATAATAAATATATATATGATTGTCTATCTTACGTAGAGGAAGTCCTTGTAGTGGTTGTAGTTTTAATGCCATCTCTGAAAAAACAAAACAATACAAATATTTATATCTGACTGGTATTTAAAGTCACTGTCACTGTGTAAAAGCTGTCCTGCAGTAACTCACCTATCAGGACTGCTTTTCACAGTCACAGTCTCAGTGCTGGAGACAGTTGTTTTGCTGTAAAGAAGAAAATATAAC